AGCCCCAGCGTGGAGCTCCCAAGGCAGTCAGTCTGTGGGCTGGCCCAGCGGCCACTCCCTCTGTCTTGTGGGCCCTGCTAACCCTAGCTGGCTCTCCTTTTCAAAGTGGTATCAACTGCCCCAATCTGCCCCTGCCCTATTCCTGACACGCGCTTCACCCACCCCCAGCGTGACCCTGTTTGCTGTCTGCTCTCCACCCATCCCAAGCCCGGGAACTGAAACTGGGCTGAATGGTGCAGTCCTCATCCTCCTGCTCACTGGATCCCCCAAGCCTGTCCCTCTGCCCCAGGGCAAGGTCTCAGGGGAGGCTCCCCCTGCCCCGGCAGGGGCCCCTGTGTTGGCACCCGCAGGGCCTGCCCAGGCCTCACCGAGGCTGAGTCGCAGCTCTTCGCATTGGCTGATGTGCGGGAACTGCAGCATCTGCCGCCATTTCTTGCTTTTGCCTTTGCGATTTCCACCGCCACCTGTGGGAGCAAGCGGACACTGGGTCTCGGGTCTCAGTGCAGTCCAGGGCCTCTAGGGCCCAGCCAAGGCAGAGCCAAGGCAGAGCGGCACCTCAGGCCTTCCCTCTGCACGCTCCAGCACGCCCTTGCTGCGTTCCAGGACACACGTGGTTCTCCTGCTTCAGGCTCCTGCGCTGGGAGAGCCAAGAGAGGCAGTGAGGTCGCTGGGGGAGGACGGTGTTCCAAGTAGCTCCAACAATGGGTCCAACCTCAGCTGTTTCCCACCAGGTAGGAGTTCCCTCAGTGAAGAAAGGGGAGAAGGACATCGCAGTGGTGGGAACTGCAGAAGGCCCAGGAGGGAGAGATTCTAGGCCAGTGGGGCAGGCCTGAGAGATGCACAGCGCAGCCTGGGGACAAGGAGGCTCCCAGGCCTCTATCACCAGGCCCCACATCAGAGCTATCAAATGCTCAAACAAGGCAGGGGCAAGGGGGCTGGCACCCAGGACTCCCCATCCCCTGCACACTGGGGCTTCCCCGGTCCCCTGCCTGCCTTGCTTGACCTCGCAGACACCCCACCTGCAGCGGCTGAGGTCACGGCAGCAGTGGGATTGCCTGCAGAGCCCAACAGGTGTGGGAAACATGGGCCAGATGTGAGATGACCAGGAACAGCGAAGGCCCCTGTGACAGAGGCAGCTGCAGGACACCACCAGCTGATTGCTTGATTGCTGCTAGGAGGGTTTCTGGCTCAGTGAGGCCAGCTCTTCTGATTTTTCAAAAGCAGCTAGAAATTCAGACTCTCACATAAAATATTGGCCCTCATTTTATAAAAAAGAAAAAAAAAAAAACAACAACTCACTGCAGCCAAATAAATAAAATGTGTCAGGGAGCTAGCTAAACGTGTGTGGCCTGTGGGCCACCAGGTTGAGAGGCGTGGAAGGGGCCTGAGCCTCCCAGAGCTGGGTCTGAATCTCTGATTCACACCATAGGCCCATCACCTGCTATCTGTGAACCTCAGCTTCTGCCTGTGTGTTATGTGGTGCATGGGAGACGCTGTCCACATTAAGTAGGGCTGAGTCAAGAGGTGAACCCCAACTCCAACAACTCCATGGCAACCTTAGACAACCATTTTCTCATGCTGGGCCTCAGTTTCCCCTCTGGTTTTTCAGTCCTGTATCCATCTGGCCTGGGTGAGGGCAGGTGGTGCAAGGGCAGAAGTTGCCTTCTAGGGAGGGGGCAAGGCGAGGTCCCTGGATGACTCCCTGACCTAAGCTGCCTGGAGGAGGAACTACTGCAGAGGCCCATTGAGAAACTTGCTAGAGGCCTCCTGCGAGCATGCCCTGCAGTCATTGCTTCACTGTGAGTGAGCAACAGACCCCCACCCCTCAACCCAGGGCAAGGCCTTCCCAGAAGGGGAACTCCTCCCCCACACCCACAGGTCCCTCACCCAACCCTCCATCCGCCAGCCTCCCACCCTCAGTTACTTCCTCCTCCCCCCTCCCAGCCACATCAAGGCAGCAGCAGAGTCACATGCAAATATCCTGTCCTGGGCTGCCCAGTCAGTGGGGCTCCTCCCCACCCTCCCCATCCCCTTTCAGTGTCCCTGGGCCCCCTCCCCATGCCTCTGAGTGCCTGTGAAGAGAAGGGGTACTGAGGGAGGTCTCAAGCCCCAGCGTTGTCCCACTCCATCCTCACAGCAGCTCTGTCAGAGCAGGCCCAATTTCCTATGAAAACTGAGGTTCCGAGGTGAGGAATCGATTCACCCAAGATGACTAAGCCTAGAGGTGACAGGATTGGTACCCAGCTCCCTATGGCCACAACCCAAGCTCCCTTCCCACCTCAAACATGGCTGGCATCTATTAGGTGCCAACTGCACATACACACCAAGGGTTCCCAAACCCCACTTGGGGTCTCAGATCACTCAGGAAGCTGTCAAGGGTCCCAGCCCCAAGCTCATGGAAAGCCGGTCCATGAGTTGGTTCTGATGCAGCCCGCCCAGGCGCCTGGGCTCAGGACTCAGTGACAGTCAGGGTTTCCTTTAGTCTTTATATCCCACCCCCAACCGTTCCACAAAAAGGGGTACTGAAGTTGAGAGAGAAGAGACATGTTTAAAGCCATGAAGGTCGACCAGGCGCGGTGGCTCATGCCTATAACCCCAGCAATTTGAGAGGCCAGAGGCAGGTGGATCACTTGAGGTCAGGAGTTCAAGACCAGCCTGGCCAACATGGTGAAACCCGTCTCTACTATAAATACAAAAATTAGCTGGGTGTGGTGGCGTGCACCTGTAGTCCCAGCTACTTGGGAGGCTGAGGGAGGAGGGTCACTTGAACCCAAGAGGCGGAGATTGCAGTTAGCCCTGCACTCCAGCCTGGGTGACAGAGTGAGACTCCATCTCAAATAAAAGTCATGCAGGTGGGAGGGGCAGAGCCAGGTTGTGGTAAGAGTTCTCAAGTGGAGGTACCAGTCCCCAGTCTGGCCACACCACCCTGTGCCTTGCCCATGGCCTGACACAGCTTGTCCAAACGTACCCACACTCTCCGGCCAGGCAGTGCCATCAGCAGGCCTGAGGCCTTAACTGGTTACAGCTCTAGGGAAGAAGTCCTGTTTCAGCCCTCCCCACCCCTCCTCCCTGGCTCGTTGGATGACAAGGCAGAACAGAATCGGCAGATGCCCCCAGAGGCTGGGAGGAAGGCCTAGCCCATGGGCTCGATAAGGGACAGGGGATAAGACAGGCTCCCCAGGCACTGAGGACCCAGCCTGCCATGTCATTTCTGAGCTGCACCTCGCCAGGGCACTGGGTGGGCATGGGGTGCCAGGTGTGGCACCCAGCTGGAGGTTCCTCTGGGCTTCCTATAGACTGTGCCGGTCATCCTGTGTCTTAGGCCTCAGTCAATCACAATATTGCTGTGTGACTGATGCTAATCCCTGGTTTGAGCCTCAGCTTCTCACGTGTAAAATGGGGCAGAAAGGTGAAGCAGATGACTTTTTAAGCCTGGAAGCCCAGTAAAGGGTGGAAAAACTGTCATGATCTCCCTCCTTGCCCTGGAGTTCCAAAAAGAAGAGTCTTGTTTACTGCTGCTTCCCCAGCACCCTGGACAAGGTAGGGCAGAGTGGGTGGTCAGTGATCATGTTACTGAGGTGGGGTGTGGCAGGTGGGGGCAGACTGACCACAGGGCAGTGAGGACCCGGTCTGGTCCTTCTGTTTCTCCCAGGACCTGCACAGAGCAAGTGTCTGATAACATCTGGGGTGGGAGCCACGAGGAGCTACACACACAGTCGGTCCACCAGACTGGTTTCCCCAGTCAGGCCTTTGAACTTACAATACTGACAACGCAGCCTGCTCTGCTCCCACTTCTTTCTGTGTCCGCTAGGCCCACTAGACCATGGGCTCCCTGAGGGCAAATATCCATTCACGTCTGCCCTCAGTGTCCTGAGGCGCAGAGCAAGTAGCAGTCCTATAGGTAGCATTTGTGACCAGGAGTTTCCCCAAGTCAGGTGGGCTGTGCTACGCAGAGGGTCCGTTCATTCATTCTCCAGCCTTTACCTAACACTAACTTTCTGAGGGATTAGGCTAGGTGCTGGGGTCTGGGCCCATGGCACGTGGGGCATCTTTACACCTCTCACCTGGAGAGGACTCAGAGAGGCTCTCCTGGGGCTCCGGTCCCACCCTTCCCTCTTCGTCTCTCCTTCTTTCACTCCTTCACCCCCACCCGCCGTGAGGGCGGCGGCCTGACCCCCCGCCCCTTCCTGGGCCCCGAATCCCGAGGGCAGGTGCTGAGGAGGAAGACGACGGGCCGGAAAGGCTCGTGTCTGGGCAGGGTGTGGGGCGCAGGGCCCGCGGGCCTCGGGGATTCGACGGCTGGGTAGCCCCGCGGAGCTCAGACGCCGCGCACTCGCGGTCCATGCACCCGGGCCCGGCCGCCCGCCCGGCCGCCTCACCTTCGCGGGCCTTGAGTAGCACCGTGTTCGCTACGATGTTCTCGAGCTCCATGGGCTGTGGCGCCGCCTGGCGCGCCGGGCCGCACCGCCGGCCGGGATCGCGCGCGAGTGCCGAGGCCGGATGGATCGGCGCGGCTCGGGTCGGCTCGCAGTGACCGCGCCGCGGCCTCCCCGGCCTCCCCGGCCGCCGCAGCCAGCCGCGCACTCTCCGCCCCCTCCCGGGGGCCACCCCGGCGCTGGCCCGCCCCGTCCCGCCCTCTGTTTACCTTACAAGACCAATCACCGGGCAGAAACTCCCCGCGCCGTCTTCCCATTAGTCTTCCTCTTCCTCTTTCCCCCGCCCCCCGAGCTGGGGACTCGCTCGAAGGAGTATGGGGGCGGGATCAAGCACGTCACCTCTTCCTGGTTGGTCTGAGGGCGGGGTTCAGCCCCTCGGTTCGAATTTCTGGGCTTTCGTAGGATACCAAACTGCCAATTAGGGCCGAGCCCTCAGCCGGGACAACGGAGGTGGGTACTCTGGGGCACGCCCAGGAGGCCGAATGTGTGATTGGGTGAAGAAGACGTCCGTCATCTTAAGTACTGCATTTTGATTGGGCCATCGCCTGAAGGTGTGGCCCGGCAGCCTTTAGCTCGCAGATGGCTTTTCTAGGGTTTTGTTGGGGATGCGCTCCGTATCCTGGGCCTCCTGCGGGCTGGCAGCGAGTTTGTTTGGTCCACTTGTGTGGCCTTATTCCCTTGGGTCGGTCCCAACCAGGAGGGCGCACATCGAAAGAGGGAGAGACAGGGAGGAGGCTGCGGCCTCCGCAGCCGTTCCCCGACCTCTTGCCCGGTCGCCGCAGGCGCCCCGCCCAGCCCCCGCAGCCGGATGTTGTGATTTCTCTCCACCCACTCGGCCTAGTCTTCCCTTGGCCTCTGCTGCCTTATAAGGCAGCGCTACCACCCCTAGACGTTGGGATGAGTTCACACCCGTTATACAGGTGGGGAGATGAGGCGCCGGACGTCAAGTGGCTGACTCCAGCCCGAAGACTACGGAGAAAACAAGGCTGAAATCTTACAACTAATCAACACCTTGTAGCTTAACACCCCACTTCCTCCACCCCCCACTTCACGCAGCAGGAAACGGGCTTGCCCAAATTCCGCGAGTAAGGCAGAGCCGGATCCATCTAGGCTTCTCTAGTCCCTCTTCATTCATTCATCCGAAAACACTTACTGAGCAACACCTCTGTGCCAGGCACCAAGCCAGGTGCTGGAGAATACAGTGATGGCAGCAAGATAGCCAGGCTCCCTGCTTACTTGCTAGAAGTGGAGGGAGCTAGTGAGGGCCGGGTGAGATAGAGGTAATCATTCTGTAAATAACAAATAGATAGTTTCAGAGAGTGACAACTGCTCTTGGGACGTTAAGACAAGATAGAGTGTGTGACACTCTCAGTGTGTGACATTGGAGCGGATCCAGTAGAAGCAACAGCAAACGCAGAGGCTCTAAGCCAGACTAAGTGGTGTTTCAGGGAATAGGAGAAGGCGTCTGCAGCTTCTGGGCCCAGTGGTCTGAGATGAGACAGAAGGAGCAAAGGCACTAGCTAGGTCATGGAAGACCGTGAACACATCCAGGAGGTTGCAATGTTTTTGGTAAGTGAAATGTGAAACATTTGAAAGAATGATTTATATTTTTAAAATATCACTCTGGTGGATTCCTAGGGGGCCAAGAGTGGAAGCAGAGCAGTCAGGAGGTTACAGAATTCCAGGAGAGCGATGGCGGTGGCCTGGACTAACAAGGTGGCAGTAGAGATGGAGAAAAGTGGATGGATCTAGGATCTAGGGAGTTAAGATAAGTACCTTAAAAGAGGGAAACCCTCCTGGCTAACACGGTGAAACCCCGTCTCTACTAAAAACACAAAAATTAGCCAGGCGTGGTGGCCGGCGCCTGTAGTTCCAGCTACTTGGGAGGCTGAGGCAGGAGAATGGTGTGAACCTGGGAGGCAGAGCTTGCAGGGAGCTGAGATCGCTCCAGCCTGGGCGACAGAGCAAGACTCCGTCAAAAAAAAAAAAAAAGAGGGAAATCCAGGGGCCAGTGGAACATAGGGCAGTTGCCTCACTTAGTGAAGGCTGTTGTGTCCAAGTGAAATCTGAAGATGCAGTGAAAATGGGCGGGTTACTGGAGTAGGGAGGGAAAGAGCCTTCTGGACAGAGGGGTATCACATGTTCAAAGTTCTGAAGAGGAAGTCAGGAAGGGCTCCTGTGTTCAGCACCTAAGGGCAGAGCATCCAGCTAGAGTTTAAAGGTACACGATGGGGTGAACATGGGGGGCAAGAAATGAGGCTGAAGTCTTAGGAGGAGCCTGGATCAGGGAGGGCCTTGGGAGCCAACTAAGGAATTTTGGACTTCATCTTGAAGGTGGTGGGGAACTGTCAAGGAGGTTTTTAGTACGGTGATCAGATTTGCTTTCGTAGAGAGCTCTGGGCTGCACTGTGAAGGATAAGCTGATGGGAGGGGCTGGCTTGTTGTTTTAGTTCCCAGCATCTGAAGCCCTTCCCATTTGAGAAGAATCCTATGAGATGTGGAGGCAGGCCCTGCCTTCAACTAAGGAAATCAAAGAAGGGAGGTAGAATTTTTTCTCCCAGGTCTCTGGTAGCTGGAGCACAATTCCGATGTTTCCAACCAGGTCTTTGAATCTAGAGCAAGTGAGCAGCACAAGACATCGAATTCATTGTGCAGGCCGTGGAGGTTGGGGGAGGGAAGGAAGGCAGTCAAGCTAGGCCCTTCCTGGGGGAGGGGGATTCAGCAAGCCCCCCAGGCTGTCCTGCCCATTCCTCATCTGTTTAGTTACCCAGAATTGGCTTCCTTGTCTGCAGGCCAAGTATCCTAAGACAGGTGAGAGGCCTTTTAGAAGGAACTTTTAGAGAGAGGAATGATGGTGCCCTATGCTGGGGCAGTGGCCAGGACATGCAGACAGGTGGACAGATGGAGACCTGGCATGTAGCTGGCATGAACAGGACATGGCAATAGATAAGAGGTGAAGAGAAGATGTCACTCAGGAAATTTGGTTCCAGCTCTTCAAGCCATTTTCTACCTGCAGCGAAAGTGATTTTTTTTTTTTTTTTTTTTTTTGAGGCGGAGTCTTGCTCTGTTGCCCAGGCTGGAGTGCAGTGGCACTATCTCAGCTCACTGCAAGCTCCGCCTCCTGGGTTCACGCCATTCTCCTGCCTCAGCCTCCCGAGTAGCTGGGACTACAGGCACCTGCCACCACGCCCGGCTAATTTTTTTGTATTTTTAGTAGAGATGGGGTTTCACCGTGTTAGCCAGGATGGTCTCAATCTCCTGACCTCGTGATCCACCCATCTCGGCCTCCCAAAGTGCTGGGATTACAGGCTTGAGCCACCGCGCCCGGCCGAAAGTGATATTTTTAAAAGGGAAAATTGGCTAAGCATGGTGGCTCATGCCTGTAATCCCAGAACTTTGGGAGGCCAAGGCAGGCTGATCACCTGAGCTCAGGAGTTCGAGACCACCCTGGCCAACATGGTGAAACCCCATATCTACTAAAATATAAAAAATTAGCCGGGCATAGTGGTGCGCGCCTATAGTCCCAGTTACTCGGGAGACTGAGGCATGAGAATCGCTTAAGCCCTGAAGGTGGAGGAGTTTGCAGTGAGCCAAGATCATGCCAGTGCATTCCAGCTTGGGCAACAGAGGGAGACTCCATCTCAAAAATAAATAAATAAATAAATAAAAGGGAAAATCTGCCACCAACCATCTGAGATGAGCGTGTCTAGGAATTTATCTTACAAATATCATTGCGCTTAGTCTGGTGCTATTCATTGCAGCATTCTCCAAAAAGATGCATTTTTTTTTTTTTTTTGAAACAGAGTCTCATAAAAAACACAAAAATTAGCCAGGAATGCTGGCCTGAGCCTGGAATCCTAGCTACTCGGGAGGCTGAGGCAGGAGAATCGGTTGAACCCAGGAGGTAGAGGTTGCAGTGAGCCGAGATTGTGCACTCCAGCCTGGGTGACAGAGTAAGACTCTGTCTCAAAAACTAAAGGAGTGTCTGGATAGATTAGGTTCTGCTGCAGTAACAATCAATCTCAAGTTTAAGTAACCTAAAACAATAAAAGGTCATTTCTCACATGTACTACATGTCCAAAACAGCTTGTTGGGTGGTGGGGTGGCACTACACATAGTAGTCACTCAGGGCCCAGCATAATAGGGGCTTCATTGCAATTTCTGCTTCTATAATGGCAGGTACTAAAAGGAAATAGGAATGTGGTAAATCATACAATCGTCCTTAAAGCTCACACCCAAAAGTGACACAAGTCACTTCTGCTCACATTTCATTGGTCAAAGCAAACTACATGGCCACAACTAGCTTTTAAAGGGTGGGGAGAAGGGCTGGTGCGGTGGCTCATGCCTGTAATCCCCGTACTTTGGGAGGCCAAGGCTGGTGGATCACCTGAGGTCAGGAGTTTGAGACTAGCCTGGCCAACATGGTGAAACCCCGTCTCTACTAAAAATACAAAAAGTAGCCAGGTGTGATGTTGCACACCTGTAGTCCCAGCTACTCGGGGTGCTGGGGTGGGAGAATCGCTGGAACTCAGGAGGCGGAGGCTGCAGTGAGCTGAGATCATTCCACTGCACTCCAGCCTGGGAGATAGAGTGAGACTCTGTCTCAATAAATAAATAAATAAAGGAGTGAGGAGACACAACATTACTATGGCAGATTATATTTTCTGAAGATGAGTGTAACAATGCATTCCCATCCCACAGGCACTCCTGCAATGGAACCTTGCCACCCCCACAGCAAGAGATAGAGTTTAATTTCCCTCCCCTTGAATTTGGTCTGACCTTAATGACTCCTCTTGTCGTCGGTAGAATATGGTGGAAATGATGCAGAGTGAAGTCTAAGGCCAGGTCAGAAAAGGCCATATGGCCTGGCTCTCATAAAATGCTGGCTTTCCAGAACTGTCCTCTTGGGCTGTTTCCTCAGAATCAGCTGCTGCTGTAAGAAGCCCTAGCCAAATGGAGAGGCCACACGTGTGTGCTCTGCTATGGTTGACAATCCCAGCTGAGCCCAGGATGCTGGGATGATCCAGTCGTCCCACCCCAAGCACCAGACATGTGAGTGAAGAAGCCTCCGCCCCTGGCAATTTGAGTCACCCTCAGCCATTCAAGTATCCAGCTGAGGCCCCTGGCATCTTCCCCGCTGAGTCCTGCCTGAATTCCCAACCCACAGAATCCATGAGCATAATAAAGCAGGCCACTAAGTTTGGAGTAGTTTGTAATGCAGAAACAGGTACCTGGCATAACTACTATAGGCCTGGAAGGAGAAAAGAACTGGAAATATTTGGTGAACAACACTAACAACCACCACAGACAGTTTTGCTCATATACATGTTGGCCACTTTGGGAAGGCCACGTGAGGCAGCAGAAGTGCTGTTCGCATCTGGGAAGGGGTAGTTAAATGGCTGGGGACGGGGGCAGGAGGGAGGTTTTTCACCCTATTCCCTTCTGCACCGTTAATCTTGTATCGTGTGGCTGCATGGCCTGTCTTAAAAACTATCAGCTGGATCCTGTCACTCTCTTGCTCAGAACTCTCCAGTGGCAGACTGCGGTAGGCAACCTCCAGGGTACCCCTGCTGCCAGGGATCTCTGTTTCTTCCTGGTATTCACACCCTTGAGATCCCCTTAAGTGTCAGGTGGACCTCCTGACTCACTTTTTTTTTTTTTTTTTTTTTTTTGAGATGGAGTTTTGCTCTCCTTACCCAGGCTGGGGTGCAATGGTGCGATCTCAGCTCACTGCAACCTCCACCTCCTGGGTTCACACAATTCTCCTGCCTCAGCCTCCTGGGTAGCTGGAATTAAAGGCGCTCACCACCACGCCTGGCTGATTTTTTGTATTTTTAGTAGAGACGGGGTTTCACCATGTGGCCAGGCTGGTTTGGAACTCCTGACCTTGTGATCTGCCCGCCTCAGTCTCCCAAAGTGCTGGAATTACAGGTGTGAGCCACCACACTCGGCATTTTTCTTTTTCTTTCTTTTTTTTTTTTTTTTTTTTTTTTGAGACGGAGTCTCACTCTGTGGGATTCTCACTCTGCTGCCAGGCTGGAGTACAGTGGCATGATCTCCACTCACTGCAACCTCCGACTCTGGGGTTCAAGCAATTCACCCGCCTCAGCCTCCTGAGTAGCTGGGACTACAGGTGCGTGCCACTACGCCCAGTTAATTTTTGTAGAGATGGGGTTTCACCATGTTGGCCAGGCTGGTCTTGAACTCCTGACCTCAAGTGATCTGCCCATCTCGGCCTCCCAAAGTGCTGGGATTACAGGCGTGAGCCACCGGGCCTCACCTGCGCCCGGCCTTTTCTTTTCTTTTTTTTTAAGACAGAGTCTCGTTCTGTCGCCCAGGCTGGAGTGCAGTGGTGCAAGCTCAGCTCACTGCAACCTCTGCCTCCCGGGTTTAAGCAATTCTCCTGCCTCATCCTCCCAAGTAGCTGGGATTACAGGCACTGCCCACCACGCCTGGTTAATTTTTGTATTTTTGGTAGAAATGAGGTTTCGCCATGTTGGCTAGGCTGGTTTCAAACTCCTGACCGCAGGTGATCCACCTGCTTCAGCTTCCCAAAGTGTGGGATTATAGGCGTGAGCCACTGTGCCCAGCCACATTTTTTTTTCTTTTTTTTTTTTTTTTTTTGAGACGGAGTCTTGCTGTGTCACCCAGGCTGGAGTGCAGTGGCCGGATCTCAGCTCACTGCAAGCTCCTCCTCTTGGGTTCACGCCATTCTCCTGCCTCAGCCTCCCGAGTAGCTGGGACTACAGGCACCCGCCACTTCGCCCGGCTAGTTTTTTGTATGTTTAGTAGAGACGGGGTTTCACCGTGTTAGCCAGGATGGTCTTGATCTCCTGACCTCATGATCCGCCCGTCTCGGCCTCCCAAAGTGCTGGGATTACAGGCTTGAGCCACCGCGCCCGGCCATTTTTTTTTCTTAAGAGACAGGGTCTTGCTCTGTCACTCAGGAGTGCAGTGGCGCGATCACAGTTTACTGCAGCCTCTACCTCCTGGGCCCAATCGATCCTCCTACGTCAGCCTCCCGAGTGGCTGGGACTACATGCGCGTGCCACCATACCCAGCTAATTGATTTTTTTGTAGAGACAGGGTCTCCTTTTGTTGCCCAGGCTGCTCTCAAACTCCTGGCTCAAGCAATCCTCCCTCCCTGGCCTCCTAAAGTCTTGGGATTACAGGCGTGAGCCACGGCACCCAGCTTGACTCACTTCCAATGGAAAAAATGCAGCCAAGGTGATGGAATGTCATTTCCAACATGAGATTCCTAAAAGATTGTGGCTACCAGCTTAGGTAACTCCTCTTGCTCCCTCACTGGCTCAATCTGAGAGAAGCCAGCTGTTATGTCGTGAGATGGAGAGACCTATGTGGCAGGTGACTGATGTCTCTAGCCAGCAGCTTTGTAAGTGAACTTGAAAGTGGATCCTTCCCCCAGCAGCCTCAGCTGACCCTCCGATGCAGCCTCATGAGAGATGCTGACCCAGTGGCACTCAGTTAAACAGTGCCAGGTTCCTGACCCATAGAAACTGTGACCCATAAATACCTTTTTTAAAAAAAGAATTTATGACTGGGAATGGTGGCTCATGCCTGTAATCCCAGCACTTTGGGAGGCCAAGGTGGGTGGATCACCTGAGGTCAGGAGTTCAAGACCAGCCTAGCCAACATAGTGAAACCCCATCTCTACTAAAAATCCAAAAATTAGCCAAGTGTGATGGTGGGCACCTGTAGTCCCAGCTACTCAGGAGGCTGAGGCAGGAGAATCCCTTGAACCCAGGAGGTAGAGGTTGCAGGGAGCCGAAATCATGCCACTGCACACTCCAGCCTAGGTGACAGAGCTCCATCTCAAGAAAAAAAAAAAAAAAGTTTAATTGATGTGAGGCTGGCCCACATGAGAGAACTAGAGTTGTCACTGAAATCAGTCTACATAAATGTCATTTTAAGCTGCTAAATTTTGGGACAATTGGTTATGCAGCCATAGACAATTAATACGCTTCTCATTACACTTAAACAATAAAACCTCCTTAAAGCTGCAGTGAGCCATGATCATACCAGTGCACTCCAACCTGGTAACAGAGCAAGACCCTGTCTCAAAAAAATAAATTAAAAAAAAAACCCTCCTGTAGTCCCAGCTACTTGGGAGGCTGAGGTGGGAGGATCACTTGATCCTAGGAGTTCAAGGCCAGCCTGGACAACAACATTGTGCGACCTATCTCTACAAAAAATAAGCAATTAAAATGTTAAAAACCCTATATTCTTCCCTGTGGCCTACAATGGCCCAACTTGATCCGGGCCCTGTTTCCCTCTTCAGCGTTATTTCATGCCATCTCCCTCTCGTTCGGTGTGCACCAGCAGCCACACACTGACCTTCCTGCATCTGTCAGGAACTGCACTGTCCAATATGGTAGCGCTTAGTCACATGTGACTACTTAAATTAATTAAATTTGGCTGGGTTCAGTGGCTCATGCCTGTAATCCCAGCACTTTGGGAGGGCGAGGCGGGTGGATCACCTGAAGTCAGGAGTTCAAGACCAGCCTGGCCAACATGGTGAAACCCGTTTTTACTAAAAATGCAAAAATTAGCCGGGTGTGGTGGCAGGCACCTGTAATCCCAGCTACTTGGGAGGCTGAGGCAGGAGAATCACTTGAACCCGGGAGGTGGAAGTTTCAGTAAGCTGAGATTGCTCCATTGCACTCCAGCCTGGACAACAAGAGTGAAACTCCTTCTCTTTCTCTCTCTCCATATATATATAAAATCAAGTCCAGGCACAGTGTCTCATGCCTCTAATCCCAGCACTTTGGAAGGCAGGAGGAGGATCATTTGAAGGCAGGAAGAGGATTACTCCTGAAACAGGAAGAGGATCACTTGAACCCAGGAGTTCAAGACCAGACAGGGGAGCAAAGTGAGACTCCATTTTTCCAAAAAAAAAAAAAAAAAAAAATGCTCAGCGTGGTGGCTCATCCCTGTAATCCCAACACTTTGGGAGGCCGAGCTGGTAGTTCACTTGAGCCCAGGAGTTCAAGACCAGCCTAGGCAACACAGCAAAACTCTGTCTCTACAAAAACTACAAGCCAAGCATGATGGCTCAGGCCTGTAGTCCCAGCTGCTCAGGAGACTGAAGTGAGAAGATGGCTTGAGCCTAGTAGGTTGAGGCTGCAGTGAGCTATGATGGCACAACTGCACTCCAGCCTGGGCAACAGACCGAGACCCTGTCTCTCAAAACTAACAACAAAAAAATCAAACTTCAGTTCCTCAGCGACACTGGCCACATTTCAAACATTTCAAGTGCTCAATAGCCCTATGTAATCAGTGGCTACTGTATTAGACAACAGAGACAGAGAACACATCCATGATCACAGAAAGTTCTCAGATGGCACTGGTCTGGAAGAAAGAATGGCTTTTATTTGTGTAAAGACTCTATCTTGGCCGGGAGCGGTGGCTTATGCCTGTAATTCCAGCACTTCAGGAGGCCGAGGAGGGTGGATCACCTGAGGTCAGGAGTTTGAGACCAGCCTGACCAACATGGTGAAACCCCCGTCTCTACTAAAAATGCAAAAAAATTAGCTGGTATGGTGGCACACATCTGTAATCCCAGCTACCTGGGCAGGTAAGCCCAGCTGTAGAAAGACAGAAGCCAGGGAAAGGGGACCGTGCCTTTCTGCTCTGGTCTAAAGGAGTTGGTGGAAGACAGCCAGATGTGCAAGAAGATCTGGGGACAAGTGTGCAGAAATTAGAGAGAAAAATGTATCCACATTGGAAAGTTTCTTTGTACACTTCTATGGACTGAGCTCCAGCCACACGCCAGGTTCTGCCTTTTCACATGCAATCCCATTCAAACACCTCAACAAGTCTACCAGACAGCATGAGTGCCCATCCCTCCCTACAGAGGTGTGGCAATGCAGATGGAGACAGGCCGAGCTTCTTAGCTGTCATCACACTGCAGGGCGGCGGCCAAGGTGGGAGTGGAAGGCTTCCTGACTCAAGTCCATTGCTTCCCTACCTTGCTTCTAAGGTCGGTATTTTCCTGTCCTTTAAACTATTGACTTACCCATCACAATCACATGAGGGGTTTGTTTTGCTTTGTTTTGTTGTAGGAACTTCCTGGTAACAGTGCATGAACTCTGGCAGCATAAGTTAGGACTTTTGGTTGCAACTAAAATTGGCTTAGGCAAAAAAAGGAATTTTGGGGTTCAAGTAACAGAAAAGCATAGGGCGTGGTTCTGACTTTAAACGTCTCTGGATGCTGGGTCTCAAATGGTGTCATTCAAAATCTGTCTTTTTCTTTTCTTTTTTCTCTTTTTTTTTGAGATGGAGTCTCGCTCTGTTGCCAGGCCAGAGTGCAGTGGTGTGATCTCGGCTCACTGCAACCTCCACCTCCCTGGTTCAAGCAATTCTCCTGCCTCAGCCTCCCGAGTAGTTGGGACTACAGTTGCACGCCACCACGCCTGGCTATTTTTTTTTTTTTTTTTTTTTTTTTATAGTAGAGACGGGGTTTCACCATGTTGGCCAGGATGGTCTCGATCCCTTGATCTCGTGATCTAGCTGCCTCAGCCTCCGAAAGTGCTGGGATTACAGGTGTGAGCCACTATGCCCGGCCCAAAATCTCTCTCTTCATACCCTGGCTCTGCTCTTTATTTCATTTTTTTTGAGACGGAGTCTTACTCTGTTGCCAGGCTGGAGTGCAGTGATGCAATCTCAGCTCACTGCAGCATCTGCCTCCCGGGTTCAAGCAATTCTCCTGCCTCAGCCTCCCAGGTAGCTGGGATTACAGGCACGTCACCACACCCAGCTAATTTTTTTGTATTTTTAGTAGAGGCGGGGTTTCACCATGGTGGCCAGGCTGGTTTCGAACTCCTGACCTCAGATAATCCATCCGCCTCAGCCTCCCAAAGTGCTGGGATTACAGGCGTGAGCCACCGTGCCCAGCGTCCATATGCTGTCTCTGCTTTTAATCTTTATTATCTTTATTCTCAGGTAGGTTCTCCTTTTGAGATGTTAAAGATGGCTGCCAGCAGCTCCAGGCTCATTTGCTAGGAATGTGGCAACCTCCATGGAAAGAGAAAGCCTCTAGCTTTATAATTTCAGCAAAAATCCTGGGGCTGCCTCTCACTGGTTTGATGTGGGTTAGGTGTTCTTTTTTTTTTTTTTTCTTTGAGATAGGGTCTGGCTCTGTCGTCCAGGCTAGAGTGCAGTGGTGCCGTCTTGGCTCACCGCAACCTCTGCCTCCTGGGCTCAAGCCATCATCCCACCTCAGCCTCCTAGGTAGCTAGGACCACAGGCGTGTGCCACCACACCCAGCTAATTCAGGTGTTCATTTTCAACGAACCGCTGAAGACAGGCAGAGGTGGTGTTCTGATTGGCCAGGTCTAGATCAAATGCCCACTCCACCCTCAGCCAAGGGATGGGGTAGGCTTTATTTTATGTATATTGACGCAGAGTGGGGAGGAGCGATTCCCCAAAGAAACACTGAAGGCCATTTCTAGAAGCAGGGAGAATGAATGGTAAACAGGAAATGATAGACGTCCATCACTGGCTCTCAAATTGTGTTTCACAGCTGTAGCCACCTTGAATTTTCTGGAAGTCAAAGAAGAGGCAGTAGAAATTGAGAGAGATGGAGAGATTTGAGAAATATTCAAATATTCAAATATTTGAAAAATATGGTGCAGTGGCTCATACCTGTAATCCCAGTACTTTGGGAAGCTGAGGTTGAGGAGATAGCTTGTGTCCAGGAGTTTGAGACCACCTGGGGAACATAGTGACACCTCACCTCTACAAAAAATTTAAAAATTAGCTGGGTGTGGTGGTGCACGCCTGTATGCCAGCTACTTGGTAGGCTGAGGTGGGAGAATCGCTTAGAGCCTGGGACGTTAAGCCTGCAGTGAGCCATGATCATGCCACTGCACTCTAGCCTGAGCAACAGAGTGACACCCTGCCTCAAAAAATAAAAAAGAAAGAAAAGAAAAAAATATATATATTTATATATATTTGAGACAGAGTCTCACTCTGTCAGCCAGGCTGGAGTGCAGTGGCATGAACTTGGCTCACTGCAAGCTCCACCTCCCAGGTTCACGCCATTCTCCTGCCTCAGCCTCCTGAGTAGCTGAGACTACAGGCGCCTGCCACCTGGCCCGGCTAATTTTTTGTATTTTTAGTAGAGACAGGGTTTCACCGTGTTAGCCAGGCTGGTCTCGATCTCCTGATCTTGTGATCCGCCCGCCTTGGCTTCCCAAAGTGCTGGGATTACAGGCGTGAGCCACCATGCCCGGCCAATAAAGTAGCCTTTCACCACCACAACTGGGGAGGGGTGATCACAAAATGAAACTGGGAGGGGAAGAGAAAGGGAGATGGATGTTGAATATCCAAATGCCCATTAATGTCCACCTCACACCTCATCTCACACTCCCTACAAGGCTCCCTATGCTCACCACATTCCCCATTTGACATGCTGCATTCAGGCTTCTATGCAGTTGTATTACTCACTCTGCCTCAAACCCCTACTTGGGGCGAAGACCTGTTCAAAAGGCCCCTTCCATTTAGAGGAACAGCTGCGTTCTCCCCAAGAGGAAGGAGCCAATGTGGGAGTGGCCTTAGGGCCAAGGTCTATACTCAGGTGCAACCAAGAATTGACAGAGCCGCTCACGCCTGTAATCCCAGCACTTTGGGAGGCCGAGACGGGTGGATCACGAGGTCAGGAGATCGAGACCATCCTGGCTAACACGATGAAACCCCATCTCTACTAAAAATGCAAAAATTAGCCGGGCGTGGTGGCGGGCGCCTGTAGTCCCAGCCACTCGGGAGGCTGAGGCAGGAGAATGGCATGAACCCGGGAGGCGGAGCTTGCAGTGAGCTGAGATCGCGCCACTGCACTCCAGCCTGGGCAACAGAGGGAGACTCTTATCTCAAAAAAAAAAAAAAAAAAAAAAAAAAAAAAAGAATTGACAGAGCCAGGCATGGTGGCATGCACCTGTAATCCCAGCTACTCAGGAGGCTGAGGCGAGAGGATCACTTGCACCCAGGATTTGCTGGCCAGCCTGGGCAACTTAGTAAGACCCTGTCTCTTTAAAACAACAACAAAAAAAAGGTGACAAAGGTGCTTTCGCTTTAATGACTCGTCAATATATCTAATAGTTTCACTTTCATCATGGAGTTAACAGCTGTCACATCAATGACTTTGAAACCAGTGGTTGGAAGGATGCCCCTCCTCTACTGCCCTCCTCTGTCTGCGTTTCTGTTCCAAGAAGTCTTCCGCAGCCTGCCTATCTTCCAGCAGAATTAATACATTGCTACGTTCTGTTTTCATTTCCCATAAATTACTTATGGGATAACTTAGGACTGTAACTGAAAGTGACAGAAGTCCACTCAAATTGGTTTTGTTGGCTCATATAACTGAGAAGTCTTTTTTTTTTTTTTTTTGAGATACAGTCTCACTCTGTTTCCCAAGCTGGAGTGCAGTGGCACAATCATAGCTCACAGCATTCTGGACCTCTGGGCTCAAGCAATCCTCCTGCCTCAGCCTCACAAGTAGCTGAAAGTACAGGCACGTGCCACCACGCCTGGCTAATGTTAAATTTTTTTGGAGAGTTGGGATCTCACTATGTTGCCTACATCAGTCTTGAACTCCTGGGCTCAAGTGATCCTCAAGTGATTCCCAGCCCCGCAGAGTGTTGGGATTACAGGCATGAGCCGCTGTGCCTGGCCATAACTGACCAAGTCTTAAGGATACTTCTAGTTTTAGGATCTAGGCTGTCAAAGTCATGAGAAATCAGTCCATCAGTATTAGTTCTCAAATGTTGTATAACAAATCACCCTAACTTGTGGCTTAAAACAACAACATTTAATGATGATTTATCACAGTTTCTGATGGTCGGTTTTGCCTTGAGGTCTTTCACAAGATTGCAAGCCAAATATCAGTCAGGGCTGCAGTATCCACTTCCAAGGCAGCTCATTCATGTGGCTGTCAAATTGGCACTGGCAGTCAGCAGGGCGCTTTACCTTCTCCCTACATGGGCTTCTCTGCAGGGCTGCATGCGTGTCCTTAGAGTGTAGTGGCTGGCTTCCTTCAGAGTGAGCAATCCAAGAGACTGAGGCAGAAACTGCAATGTCTTTTATGACCCGGGTTTGGAAGTCCAACACCCTCACTTCTGCCATATTCTTTTTTTTTTTTTTGGTAGACAGTCTCTGTCGCCCAGGCTGGAGTACAATGGTGCGATCTCTGCTCACTACAACTTCTGCCTCCTGGGTTCAAGTGATTCTCCTGCCTCAGCCTCCCGGGTAGCTGGGATTACAGGCACGTGCCGCTACACCCAGCTAATTCTTGCATTTTTCATAGAGACGGGGTTTGGCCAACATGTTGGCCAGGCCAGTCTTGAACTCCTGACCTCAAGTGATCCGCCTGCCTTGGCATCCCAAAGTGCTGGGATTACAGGCGTGAGTCACTGCACCCAGCCACTTCTGTCATATTCTAAAGGACACACTGAACAGCCCTAACTCAATGTGGGAGGACACTATACAAAGGCATGAATCCTAGGTGGTGAGGATCAATGGGGACTGTCTTTGAGGCCGTCTACCACAGCATCCCTCCATCCTTTCTGCCCTGTTTGCTCTGCTTTTCCTATGTGTAGGCTTCATTCTCAAACAGGCCCTCCCTAGACAGTGACAAACGTGATCATCAACGTGTTCAGACCCACATGCTCTGTGCTTAGTAACCCCAGTGCAAGTTTTTTGCTTTCCCAAAAGTTCTGGCAAAAGTCCTAAACTAGCACTTTAATTGGCCTAAATTGTGTATATGCTTATCTCTGAACCAATCACTGTGGAGTAGAGATGTCATGCTCTGATTGGCCAGACCTAGGTCCATGCCATGCCCTGAATGGCCAGACCTAGGCCACACCCATAGCCCTAGTTCTGAGGGTAGAGCTGGCAGCACTAGAGCCCATGGAAGAAGTAAGAGAGGAGTCATTGGCCGGGCGCGGTGGCTCAAGCCTGTAATCCCAGCACTTTGGGAGGCCGAGACGGGCGGATCACGAGGTCAGGAGATCGAGACCATCCTGGCTAACCCGGTGAAACCCCGTCTCTACTAAAAAATACAAAAAACTAGCTGGGCGAGGTGGCGGGCGCCTGTAGTCCCAGCTACTCGGGAGGCTGAGGCAGAAGAATGGCGTAAACCCGGGAGGCGGAGCTTGCAGTGAGCTGAGATCCGGCCACTGCACTCCAGCCTGGGCGACAGAGCGAGACTCCGTCTCAAAAAAAAAAAAGAGAGGAGTCATTGTTAAAGGAAAAATCAAAGTGTCATTACCGAACCAGGACAGATACTGGGCAGCACATGTGCACCCCATCTTCTCTTGTGTTCCAGCTGCATATCTTAGTGCCCCTTGGTTTAGCACTTTTCTCATGAAATCATTTGCTTTCTTGCCTCACTTCCTGTGGTTGGTAGAATGCTAATATGGCCCCAAGATCTCTACCCCTGGTGCTTGCACACTTCCCAGTTATTCTGTTAAACATGAATGTAGATGCTTCTGTGAAAGAATTTTGCATATGTAATTAAAGTCCCAAATTGACCTTAAAATAAGGAGAATGGCAGGGCCAGGTGCGGTGGCTCACGCCTGTAATCCCAACACTTTGGGAGGCTAACGCGGGCGAACCACGAGGTCAGGAGACCGAGACCATCCTGGCTAACACAGTGAAACTCCGTCTCTACTAAAAATACAAAAAATTAGCCTGGTGTGGTCGTGGACACTTGTATTCCCAGCTACTCGGGAGGCTGAGGCAGGAGAATGGTGTGAACCCTGGAGGCGGAGCTTGCAGTGAGCTGAGATCGTACCATGCACTCCAGCCTGGGGGACAGAGCCAGACTGTGTCTTAAAAAAAAAAAAAAAAAAAAAAAAAAGGACAATGACTTTGGTGGGCCTGACCTAATCAAGTGAGTTTTGTTTGTTTGTTTTTGTTTCTGATTTTTTTTTGAGACGGAGTCTCACTCTGTCGCCCAGGCTGGAGTGCAGTGGCATGACCTAGGCTCACTGCAAGCGCCACCTCCTGGGCTCACATCATTCTCCTGCCTCAGCCTCCCGAGTAGCTGGGACTAAGGCGCCCACCACCACACCAGGCTAATTTTTTGTATTTTTAGTAGAGACAGGGTTTCGCCATGTTAGCCAGGATGGTCTCGATCTCCTGACCTTGTGATCCGCCCACCTCGGCCTCCCAAAGTGTTAGAATTACAGGCGTGAGCCACCGGGCCCCGCCATGTGTCTCCTTTTAAGAACTCACCTGGGCCAGGCACGATGGCTCAGGCCTGTAATCCCAGCACTTTGGGAGGCCAAGGTGGGCAAATAACGGTCAGGAGATCCAGACCATCCTGGCTAACACGGTGAAACTCCATCTCTGCTAAAAATACAAAAAATTAGCTGGGCGTGGTGGCATGTGCCTGTAGTCCCAGCTACCCGAGAGACTGAGGCAGAAGAATGGCGTGAACCCGGGAGGCGGAGCTTGCAGTGAGCTGAGATGGCGCCACTGCACTCTAACCTGGGCGACAGAGTGAAACTCCATCTCAAAAAAAAAAAAAAAGGGAGACACATGACCAGAAATACAGGCCTCAGGGAGCCGAGGATAGCCCCTGGCTGACAGCCTGCAAGGAAGTAGGGACCCCATTCCTGCAACCATAAGGAACTGAATTCTGCAGACAACCTGAATGAGCTTGGAAGTGAATCTTCCCCGCATAGGATTTTTAAACTACGGAGTTGTGAATTAGTAAGTGGGTACCGGCCGGGCACAGTGGCTCACGCCTGTAATCCTAGCACTTTGGGAGGTCGAGGCGAGTGGATCACCTGAGGACAGGAGTTCGAGACTAGCCTGGACAACATGATGAAACCCTGTGTCTACTAAAAATACAAAAATGAGCTGGGCATGGTGGTGGTTGCCTGTAATCCCAGGTACTTGGGAGGCTGAGGCAGGAGAATCGCTTGAACCTGGGAGGCAGAGGCTTCAGTGAGCCGAGATCGTGCCATTTCACTCCAGCTGAGCAACAAGAGTGAAACTCTGTCTCAAAAAAAGAAAATTAAAAAAAAATTGAAAATGGGCATTGTTGTAAGCTGCTGAGTTTATGGCAATTTGTTACATGACAATAGAAAACGAACACACTTCGCAGTGGACTCCAAGATGCCCGTGAAAGGGAGCTTCTCTTTGATCTCCTTAACCTCCTCATCTCCACAGGACCCAGAGCACAAGAACGTCCCTTCTCCTGCTTCTAGTCCCACCGTCTAGAAAAAAGAGAGGAGGAGCCCAGCTCTTCATCATTCCACCCCCACCCACTAACTCCCAACTTCCTGGCCCTCAGCGGGTGACCAAGGAAGTCGGTCCACTTGGCTTTCCATAAACAGCCTGTGCCCCACCAGGCTCAGGGGGGCAGCTTGACCAATCCCTATTTCCAAGACCTTTGGCCAACCCTATTGATCTGGACTCCTGGGCAGGCAGTTGGACCAACGGACAGACGCCATGAGGGCTCTGCTGCTCCTGGGGTTCCTGCTGGTGAGCCTGGAGTCAACACTTTCGGTGAGTGCTGTGGGAACCAGGATTGTCCCAGGATGGTCCTGGGGTGGGGGCCGTCGCTATCACAGCCATGGTCTCTGCTCATGACCTGTGGGTTCAGGTGACTAGAAGGCCTATGTGGAAAGGTGAGGCCAGCCCCGAAGGCCCAGGCAGAGGAGACAGACAACCAGACTGGGTGGATACAAGGGCACAGCCTACATTTCTGGGGGAGATGGGCCTTAAGAAGACAATGGGAGGAGGTAGAAAGGGTTTGGGTCTTGGGAGGAAATCTCTGCATTTCTGGGCTGTGAGAGGAAGCTGCAGACTAGCAACAGATCGGTGGCAGGCTATGACTTCTAGGCAGTTCCCTGCCTTCTTCTCTCCCTTGTAGATTCCACCTTGGAAAGCGCCCAAGGAGCATAAGTACAAAGCTGAAGAGCACACAGTCGGTAAGTGGCTCCTCCTCCTGAGAACCCTTGGGTGGGGATGTGTATGGTGTGGCATGTGCAGTCTCAAGACCATCTAGTCTTGTGCCTACTTGGTGCTAGGTCTTATGCCCATGGGCACCAGAGTGATCGTGAGCTGTGTGATCCTTGAGGGCAGGGCATAACTGTGTCTAAGTGCCCACGAGCCTGGCTCAGAGCAGGTGCTTGAGATATGTGCTGCTGGTGCCATCACACCTGGGATCCTGCCAGCCTTCCTCAGTTTCCCCAGCTTTTCCCCTTCTTTTCCTTTCACCAGTATGTCTCGTGGGCATCAATCATGCCACACAGAGGCCAGGACCTTCAATGGGCAAGGAAGGATCAAGAGCTGGTCTCTGGCATTTGAATGCCTCTGAATCCCAGCTTTATCACTTATGAGCTGGGTGACTCTGGGTGAGAATCAAATCTGAGTTCTCCAAGCTTCAATTTCCCCTTCTGTGAAACCAGGTTGATAATAGTAAACCTCTTGGGGTTGTTGAGAAGGAAAACCCATGTGAGGCATTCAGCCCATCACCTGAATGGAATGGTGCATGGAAATGCTTTCAAAATATTAGCTTTTACTGGCCGGGCACGGTGGCTCACGCCTGTAATCCCAGCACTCTGGGAGGCTGAGGCGGGCGGATCACGAGGTCAGGAGATCGAGACCATCCTGGCTAACATTGTGAAACCCCGTCTCTACTAAAAATACAAAAAACTAGCCGGGCATGGTGGCGGGCGCCTGTAGTCCCAGCTACTCGGAGGCTGAGGTGGGAGAATGGCGTGAACCCGGGAGGCGGAGCTTGCAGTGAGCCGAGATCGCGCCACTGCACTCCAGCCTGGGCGACACAGCGAGACTCCGTCTCAAAAAAAAAAAAAAAGCTTTTATTATTAAACTACCTTTTAGATGAGGGGTACCTGCCATTTCCCCCTTCCTCAAGCCCTGCCATAGCTCCTCATTGCTTTCATTCTTCCAGACACTAAATTACCTAGAGGTCAGGCATGGTGGCTCATGCCTGTAATCCCAGCACTTTGGGAGGCCAAGGCAGGTGGATCACGAGGTCAGGAGTTCGAGACCGGTCTGGCCAACATGGTGAAACGCTGTCTCTACTAAAAGTACAAAAATTAGCCAGGCATGGTGGCATGCACCTGTAGTCCCAGCTACTTGGGAGGCTGAGGCAGGAGAATTGCTTGAACCCAGGAGGATGAAGGTTGCAGTGAATGAAGATCACACCATTGCACTCCAGCTTGGGCAAACAGAGCAAGATTCTGTCAAAGTGCTGGGCAACAGAGCAAGACACCGTCTCAAAAAAAAAAATAATAATTTACCTAGAGCATGCCACATAGCAGGGCCTGTGAACCAGATGGACCCTAACCTGGTGGGCCTGACTTGGTGGGGTTGAGTCCCTAAGCATGGCATTGAGGCCCAGCACATTCCAACCCTGGACTCCCTCAGCCTCCTCTCTTCACCCCACACCCAAAAGTTTCTCCTCTCTCTTGCCTTACCCAACCTTGGTGCCCTATGCTTGCCTAATGCCCTGCCTAGTGTCCCCCTCCTCTCTGTCCATCCATCCCATTTGCATCTTTTTTTCTTTTTTTTTGGGGGGGGATGGAGTCTCGCTTGGTCCCCTAGGCTGGAGTGCAATGGCGCCATCTTGGCTCATTGCAATCTCCACCTTCTGGGTTCAAGCAGTTTTCTGCCTCAGCCTCCCGAGTAGCTGGAATTACAGGAACGCACCTTCATGCTCAGCTAATTTTTGTATTTTTTAGTGGAGATGAGGTTTCACCATGTTGGCCAGGCTGGTCTCAAACTCCTGCCCTCAGGTGATCCACCCACCTCAGCCTCCCAAAGTGCCGGGATTATAGGCATGAGCCACCGTGCCCAGCCCCCATTTGCATCTTATAGGTTCATCTCAGATCCATTTCCATTTACTGTCCTGGTTCTGGTTTGGTACTTGGCAAGTGCACTTTGCCTTTAACAAAATAGTGGCAGAAGCTTATTAAGCAGGTACTATGTGCCAGACACTGCTCAGCATTTCACAGCATTATCTCATGAAGCCTCAAGACAATTCCTCTGAAGAAGACACAGGCAATTCTCATTATTCGCGGTGATTATGTTCTGTAAAATCACAGCGAACATTGAACTGGCAAACAGTATTAGGTTCCTGTGAGCTTCTGGTCACAACATTCTCATCAACCAACAGTATATAATCTCGTTTTATGTGTGATTCTGTTTAAAGACGTTTTATTTAATATATGTGTTGCTGATTCATCAATGCTAAGCTGATGGCACTATAGCTCACACCTGAATGAAGTGTATCTAACACACGCTTTCTCCCGAAGGTAGCCTTCTTGTGCTTAGGAACTATACAACTCTTGAGCAGGAGGCTCAGGGGCCATTTCCAAAAGCAAAATCCCCAGCAAAAGCACAAAGTGTGAAAAACGTTGCGCTACGTAGATTGAAAAGGACACTCGTTCAATACGACAGCTGAAACAAAAGCAGCAGTGTGACGCCTTGTTGAACCTTAACTGGGAGTGTGCAAATTTTTTTACTGCTCTGTGCATGTCCACAAATGGCCATGAAAGCATTTCAAGTATTGACTTGGGAGTTACAAATAAAATTTAGCAAGTAGGCATGTTCTCAAATATAGAACCAGAAAATAATGAGGATCAACTGTAGTATTATTACTGCCATTTTTCAGATAAGGAAACCAAGGCTCAGAGTGGTTAACAGTGACCTCAACGTTCAACAAGTATTATTAAGTGCCTGCTTTGTGACAGGTGCTCTTCCTGGCCTTGGGACCGCAGACTTACCCACGGTCACGCAGCTAGCAGGTGGTGGAGTCAGGAGTCTACTCCAGCTGTCTGAGTCCTAAACCTAACTTTTTTTTTTTTGAGACGGAGTCTCTCTCTGTCACCCAGGCTGGAGTGCAGTGGCGTGATCTCAGCTCACTGCAAGCTCCGCCTCCTGGGTTCACGCCATTCTCTTGCCTCAGCCTCCCAAGTAGCTGGGACTACAGGCGCCCACCACCATGCCTGGCTAATTTTTTTGTATTTTTAGTAGAGACGGGGTTTCACCGTGTTAGCCGGGATGGTCTCAATCTCCTGACCTCATGATCCGCCTGCCTTGGCCTCCCAAAGTGCTGGGATTACAGGCTTGAGCCACCGCGCCCAGCTCTGAACCCAACTTTTAAAGCAGAAAGTGTTTTCGATGCACAGCGGCCTTTTTGAGGGTCTGTCCTTTTCCCAACCAGACCCTGAGGGGCAGTGCCTGCACAGTTGAGTACAGGGGAAGTCCTCAGGGAGTGTGTTGTCCCTGCAGTTCTCACTGTCACCGGGGAGCCCTGCCACTTCCCCTTCCAGTACCACCGGCGGCTGTACCACAAATGTACCCACAAGGGCCGGCCAGGCCCTCAGACCTGGTAAGACTACGCAGAGGAGTTGGAGCAGGGGACTGGGAGACATGGGCCCTGGCTGTCCTTCTGTCTAAGGAACTCTGCTCAGAGAGAGGGGGCTGTGATAGGGGAGGGTGGGCCAGGCCCCTGGGCAGAGCAGGGAAGTCTTGTCTCTTTCTACAGGTGTGCTACCACCCCTAACTTTGATGAGGACCAGCGATGGGGATACTGTGTGGAGCCCAAGAAAGTGAAAGGTGCTACACACAGCCTCTGGGGTGGCCCGGGGCTCTCTCCTCCCGCCTCATTACTCTCCTGGTATCACCAGACCCCACACACCTGGGATTCTGGGCCCAGCCCCTTCTCTCCCTCCACAATACCCTTTGGAAGTCCAGAGGGAGAGTTCTGGGAAGGAGTGGTCCCATTTTGCAGGTGGGTAAACTAAGCCTTGGAAACTTGGAGTATCAAGGTCACAAGGCAAGTAGGTTCAAGTAGGGCCTTGGCCCCCAACTGTCTGACTCAGCTCCCTGCTCTTCCTCCCACCGTGTCCATCTCTCAGACCACTGCAGTAAACACAGCCCCTGCCAGAAAGGGGGGACCTGTGTGAACACGCTGAGTGGCACCCACTGTCTCTGTCCACAACACCTCACTGGGAACCACTGCCAGAGAGGTGAGGAGACGCTGAGGACCCGGGCGGGGGTGCTGGGGGACGGGGGCAACCCTGGGCCTGCAGAAGAGGTCGCTGGGTACCAGGAGACTTGGCATGGTCCTAGACTCTCCTGAGACCACTGTCCCTCTTTGTCCCCAGAGAAGTGCTTTGAGCCTCAGCTTCTCCGGTTTTTCCACGAGAATGAGATATGGTATAGATCTGAGCAAGCAGCTGTGGCCAGATGCCAGTGCAAGGGTCCTGATGCCCACTGCCAGCGGCTGGCCAGCCAGGGTGAGCAGATGGTTGGGAACGGGCCAGGGAGGAGCGTCAGGAAGACAGGCTGGCAGGAGGCCGGGTGGTGTGCCAGGAAAGAGAGCTCTCTGGGGGGCTCTTTAGGCCCAGGGGTGGCTCACTGAGTTCCCTCCCCAAGCCTGCCGCACCAACCCGTGCCTCCATGGGGGTCGCTGCCTAGAGGTGGAGGGCCACCGCCTGTGCCACTGCCCCGTGGGCTACACCGGACCCTTCTGCGACTTGGGTGAGTGAGGGTCTGGAGGAAGCAGAAGGCCAGCCCCCAGGTGGGACGGGCTTGCCAGGGAGGAGGAGGGAGAGTGCAGAAAGCAGATGAGAGGGCGGCAGGAGAGCCCAGCCCTGGCTGCCCAGGGAGCCCCCTCTCTCCTCAGACACCAAGGCGAGCTGCTATGATGGCCGCGGGCTCAGCTACCGCGGCCTGGCCAGGACCACGCTCTCGGGTGCGCCCTGTCAGCCGTGGACCTCGGAGGCCACCTACCGGAACGTGACTGCCGAGCAAGCGCGGAACTGGGGACTGGGCGGCCACGCCTTCTGCCGGTGCGCCGCGTGGGGCTGGGTGACCCCTCCGCCCGAGGGCCCCGGGCTCCTGTCGCTCTAACGGCGCCCCCTCGTGTGGCTACAGGAACCCGGACAACGACATCCGCCCGTGGTGCTTCGTGCTGATCGGCGACAGGCTAAGCTGGGAGTACTGCGACGTGGCACAGTGCCAGGCCCCAACCCAGGCGGCGCCTCCGACCCCGGTGTCCCCTGGGCTTCATGTCCCACTCATGCCCCCGCAGCCGGCACCGCCGAAGCTTCAGCCCACGACCCAGACCCTGCCTCAGTCCCAGACCCCGGGAGGTTAGGAAGCGGGGGGAAGGAGGAGCCGAGAGGGATCTGGGCGGCAAGCTAGATTCCGGCCGGCCGGCCGCGGGCTCCGCGTCCTCAGCCCCGGCTCCTCCACAGCCTTGCCAGTGAAGCGGGAGCAGCCGCCTCGCCTGACCCGGAACGGCTCAGTGAGCTGCGGGCAGCGGCTCCGCAAGAGTCTGTCTTCGATGACCCGCGTCGTTGGCGGGCTGGTGGCGCTACGCGGGGCGCACCCCTACATCGCCGCGCTGTACTGGGGCCACAGTTTCTGCGCCGGCAGCCTCATCGCCCCCTGCTGGGTGCTGACGGCCGCTCACTGCCTGCAGGACCGGCGAGTACCCGCCCGCCCAGCGCCGCCCCAGGGACCGCGGCTCCTCCGTCTCCCAGCGCTGCTTCCAAGCTGCACCCGAACCCGTGCCCTACCTTCTCCCGCCCCACCCTTCTTTCCACGCCCCTCCAGAGCTCCCGGGGAGGAATCTGGAACACGAGATGGGGTTCGGGAGCAGGGGGCTTCCCCAGAACGCTTGTGGCCAGGTCTGAGCGTTCTGCCTCTCCCCTACCCGCCCGCAGGCCAGCACCCGAGGATCTGACGGTAGTACTCGGCCAGGAACGCCATAACCACAGCTGCGAACAGTGCCAGACGCTGGCCGTGCGCTCCTACCGCTTGCATGAGGCCTTCTCGCCCGTCAGCTACCAGCACGACCTGGGTGCGTGGGGGCGCCCCGCGGGGACGGGAAGAGAGGATGGGCCCCCGGCATCCCCGCCTCACGCTCCTCTCGGCCCGGGTTAGCTCTGTTGCGCCTTCAGGAGGATGCGGACGGCAGCTGCGCGCTCCTGTCGCCTTACGTTCAGCCGGTGTGCCTGCCAAGCGGCGCCGCGCGACCCTCCGAGCCCGCGCTCTGCCAGGTGGCTGGCTGGGGCCACCAGTTCGAGGGTAGGCACAACTGCTAGGGGCAGGGTAGGAGAGGAGGCCTTTGATCACTGGGTTAGGCGGGAGAAGCCCGCGACTGTGTTATCATTCCGGGTGCCTACAGAATGGGTGGCGCTGACCTGATGGGTTGTGAGAATGTGTAGGGCCACCCAGGGCCTGGGATTCACTGCTGGGATCCCCCAAATCTCCTGGGGATACAGGGATAATCGAACTTGCTCTTGGTTTCCTCTGGGCGCCAGGCTTCTGAGTCCAACTATGACGCTGACCCCGCGCTCCGGGCTAGTGTGGGAGCCACGTTCTGCGACTCTGGATGGGTGGTGGGGGTGGGGTTTCTGTTTCCGCCCCGCCCATTCAAATCCTGGCTCTTCCCTGGACCTCAGCTTCCTTGCCTATGAAATTGAATTAATGGCATCTCCTTCCCCTCGGGCTTGCTGCAAGAGAGGAAGGGCATGAGTGGGTTTAGAAGCGCCTGGCGCAGCTTCGTCCATCGTCCGGGCGGCGAGCGTTGTCAGATGGGGTGTGAAGAAGGCGCTCGGTGTTCGCAGGGGCGGAGGAATATTCCAGCTTCCTGCAGGAGGCGCAGGTACCCTTCCTCTCCCTGGAGCGCTGCTCAGCACCGGACGTGCACGGAGCCTCCATACTCCCCGGCATGCTCTGCGCAGGGTTCCTCGAGGGCGGCACCGATGCCTGCCAGGTGAGCCCTTAGCCCGGTTGGCGCCCTTCCCCGAGGCCGTCAGGCACAAATCCCAGGTCCACAGCACTGAGCTGCGTGTTTCCGACCCAGGGTGATTCCGGAGGCCCGCTGGTGTGTGAGGACCAAGCCGCAGAGCGCCGGCTCACCCTGCAAGGCGTCATCAGCTGGGGATCGGGCTGTGGTGACCGCAACAAGCCAGGCGTCTACACCGATGTGGCCTACTACCTGGCCTGGATCCGGGAGCACACCGCTTCTTGATTGCTCAGGGACTCATCTTTCCCTCCTCGGTGATTCCGCAGTGGGAGAGTGGCTGGGGCGTGGAAGGCAAAATTGTGTCCCATTCCCCCAATGCGGCCAGCTCCGCGCCAGGATGGCGCAGGAACTCAATAAAGTGCTTTGAAAATGCTGAGAAGAAAAGCTCTTTTCTTCATGAGTCCCGCCGGGAAATGCCAAGACAGAAAAGCGATTTACAGCTTCTCCACAGCTCTCAGAGAACAAAGTCTATGAGATCTTAACGTGCAAAATCCAGATGCCGGTCCAGCTAATGTTTACTGAGCCTAGGATACTGTGTACCAAGCCCTGTGCAAGGAGAACCTGCATGTTATTCCTTATGAGAAACTCACTAACATTTTGTTTACAGAGCAATAGTTCTCAGACCATACACTAAGATCACTTGGGGGAGTTTTTGAGCCAATCTATGCCCAAGTTCCACCTTAGACCAATTAAATCACTATGTCTAGGGATGGGGCATGGGTAGTGGTATATTTTCAAAACTCCCCAGATAATTCCATGTGCAGCCAAAGTTGAGAATCATGGTTAGAAACACAGCATTGGCCGGGCGCGGTGGCTCACGCCTGCAATCCTAGCACTTTGAGAGGCCAAGGCAGGTGCATTGCTCAGGAGTTCGAGACCAGCCTGGGCAACATGATGAAACCTCGTCTCTACTAAAATACAAAAAATTAGCTGGCACGGTGGCGTGCGCCTGTAGTCCCAGCTACTCAGGAGGCTGAGGCAGGAGAATCACTTGAACCGGTGGGAGAGGGAGGGGGAGAGGGAGGGGGAGGGGGAGAGGGAGGGGGAGGGGGAGGGGGAGTTAGCATTGACTGTGGTGTGGACCCTAAGGGGTGGGTGACATATCATTGTCCCCACCCCAACACGCACTAGAGTAGTGGGTCTCAGAGTCCCTTGGCTAGCAGTACCATCACCAGGGAACTTGTTACACATAGCAAATTATCGGGCTGTACTTTACACTGCTAAACAGAAAGTCTGGGGTGGGGCCCAGCAATCTGTTTAACAGTCTTGCAGGGGATTCTGATGTTCTCTCATGCTTGGGAACCACAATCTGGGGGTTGAATGGTTACAGGTGGAGGTCTGGCTGTCCAGACACAGCATCCTTTTGTTCACAAAACCAGCTTTTTAAAATTAAAAAAAGATTGGCCAGATGCAGTGGTTCACGCCTGTAATCTCATCACTTTGAGAGGCTGAAGCGGGAGGATTGCTTGAGCTCAAAAGTTCCTGATCCGCCTGGGCAACACAGTGAGACCTCATCTCAAAAAAAATTTTTTTTAATTAATTTTTTTTTCTTTTTTAGAGACGGGGCCTCGCTCTGTGGCCCAGGCTGGAGTGCAGCGACACGATCCTAAAATCTCGCTGAGTTTAAGCGATCCGCCCGCCTCGGCCTCCCAAGGCGATGGGATTGCAGGAATGAGCCACAGCGCTCTGCCAAACCCTTCTTACAGGATAACCTTAGAACTGCCCCTGCGCTACACGCCCACGCCCCACGTGCCCCAGCCTGGGTGGTCCCTCCAGGACGGCGCCTTGTGTGACGTCACAGCCCCAGCATGCGTCGCAGCGCCGCAGGCCTTCCCCGCGTGGCGCCTCTACATTGCTCCGAGAGGCACGAGGCAGCGGGGCGCACTCGGAGCGCGATGGGCGACTGGAAGGTCTACATCAGTGCAGTGTTGCGGGACCAGCGCATCGACGACGTGGCCATCGTGGGCCATGCGGATAACAGCTGCGTGTGGGCTTCGCGGCCCGGGGGCCTGCTGGCGGCCATCTCGCCGCAGGAGGTGGGCGTGCTCACGGGGCCCGACCGTTGCACCTTCCTGCAGGCGGGCCTGAGCGTGGGCGGCCGCCGCTGCTGCGTCATCCGCGACCACCTGCTGGCCGAGGGCGACGGCGTGCTGGACGCACGCACCAAGGGACTAGACCCGCGAGCCGTGTGCGTGGGCCACGCGCCGCGCGCGCTCCTGGTGCTCATGGGCCGACGCGGGGTCCATGGGGGCATCCTCAACAAGACGGTGCACGAACTCATACGCGGGCTGCGCATGCAGGGCGCCTAGCTGGGCAGCCAGGCCGCCCACTGGTAGCGCGGGCCAAATAAACTGTGACCTGGGCGCGGCTGGCTCCTTCTCCACTTGCACGGTGGGAGGAGTTGTAAATAAGGAAACTGGTCTTTGCAAGACGGTTACCTGGTGGAGATGGGATTTTGAGTCTAGAGGCTGCCAGGCTCCTGTGCCCTCCACCCTGCTCTCCCATGGACGCCTTGCAGAGTCTCCTGGCCTGACTGCTGCTCCTTGGCGCCTTCCCAGGGTCCTAGGCACTCCGCAGCTGAGGAAGAGTCCAAGGGTGGGGCTTCTCAAAGTCAGTTTCCGCCTTAGCGTCCTTTCTCGCAGATATTCCCACACATTAGGCAGGACAAGTAAAAGGAGCCTCTTCCCCATCCCGCGAACACCTCTCCCCATCAGAGTGTCAGGCTAGAGGCCAGTTTGCTCCTCCCCCCTCCACTCATACCTCACGTACTAGCAAGGTGTGTGAGTGGGTGACAGGACGGGCCTGGTAGCTTGTAAAGCAGTTCTGGGGTTCACAGGCCTCTGCATCTCTGCCCACATTCCTCCAAGGGGGGGCCACTGAGAGGGCACATGTCCAAGACCATCACAAGTGGGTCTGAGACCTTACATGCTGCCTTCCCCAGGTCTTCGAAAAGGCCCCGGAGGAGTCCCTGGACTAGAGGGAGGAACTCTGGCATCCCTACCCCGGAGTCTCACTCTGTAGGCCTCCGTTTCAGGGTGACCTATGGAGGAGGGGAATTGAAAAGCTTGGATGAGTTTGTGGCCTGGTTTACTGCCCAAAGATAGTGGACAAAAGTGGGAGGGAGAGTGTCTGGTCTCTGCCCTCCATGTGCTGGGGCCCAGGGCATGGCCTCTTTTGCCCACCACCCCCCTTCCCATCCCCTCCCCCAGCGGCCCTGACAGCAGACCCCACGTGTCACTCATTCTGGAGCCCTGATCTTATCCCAGCAAGGAGTGATGTGTGGCTGAGGTGGGTGAATTCAGAGGGCAGAGGGAGACCAGAAGAAGTTCAGCCAGGTGGGGGTCAGGGGTTGGGGGTGCAGAATCCTCCTTACTCTTGCCTTGGGGGTGGCCCCAGGCCTAGGAGGGGCTTCAGGGAGTTTGAGTTGTGGATTGGACTCTCAGGTAGGGCCAGACCGATGGTTGGGGTGTGAGCCTGCAGGGCTGGTTTCTCTGGAACTGCACCAGACCCGGGCAGGGCAGGCTGCTCTTGCAGCCAGTCTTTGAGGGGAGATGGTGCTGCTGAACCCCATGGCTTGGTCTTCCCTTTCACCATTGGTGGAGAGCAAAAAGACTTCCGAATGCCTAAGGAGAGTTTTGATTCCTTTTTTTTTTTTTTTTTTCCCCATCAGGCAGGTGTTGGGAAGGGAATTGTAGTGGTGCTGAAGACCTGGGTGAGGATGAGGAGAGGGTATCTTGGAGGAAGGAAGGTGGCAGGGAGGTGTGCAAATTCAGTGAGGCAGGCACCAACATCTATGCACAAACAGCTGTACAGTCATATACTCAGACCCACCCTCACTCCTGTCTATCCTAGTCATGTGTACACGTGCAGAGGACCTGAAATCATATCAGATATCCTGCAACCTGCACACAGCCTCCCACAGGTGTGTCTGTGTATACGTGCATGGGCTGGCACACCTGCACACAAATACAAGCATCGACACATGACAGGTGCACATGCAGACTCACCCCCACACATGCACGCACACCGACACTGTCACACAAGCCCAGACCTTTGCGGAGCTACAGAAGGAGAGACTGGCACTCAGGGTGGCACAGGCACATGCACACACATATACACACCCTCCCTCCCCTGCCTTTCCACCCCAGGCCTTCCCCATTCCGGGCTGTAGTCTGGGCCCACCACCTAGAGGCGGGTGGCATGGTGGTGAGCAGGCAGTGCAAGGCAGGGGGAGGGCGTGGAAGGGGGTAACTCCTCCAGGAAGACCCTAGGGGGTAGCGGGGGTGAGCGGGGCTCAGGCCTGGCACAGCATAGGGTGGCACGGGTGATGAGGCGGTCCAGAGGCTTCAGGGAGTGCATCCAGCGAGGCAGGAAGTCCCATGTTTGTAACCACTTGGGCAAGTGCCCGGGACTCCGACTCTGCAGGACATTGATGAGCACCACGAAGGCCAGCAGGGCCCCGAAGGGCGTGCCCACACCTACCATGACCTGCCAGCCTGCCATGGAGATGCCAAACACCAGTGAGGGCAGCAGCAGGAAGCAGACAAGGAGATAGAGGACGGCGAACCAGCGGTACTTAGCTGTGCGTTTCCCCAGCGCCTTGGCCATGCGGATGGGCAGGCGTGTGCAGGGCACCGGGTACCACAGAAGGATGCCCGAGATGTTGAAGAAGAAGTGACAGAGGGCAATCTGCAGGGGATGAGGCAGAGGGGCTGAGGTGGGCACTGGCTCCCAGGTCCTGGGTCAGGCCAGCAGGGGTGGATGATAGGAACCCCAATCTGGTCTGGGCAGCAGGAAAGTTTCCATTTAGGGGTGATGTGTCCCCCGCCCCCAGATCACCCCGGGGCAGCTATGCTGGTTATGCAAATATTGAAATACTTCTAGACAAGTTGGTAAATAACTACTGCCCTGAGCTCGCCACATTTTCCCCACTGATCCCTCACACAGGAATCCTCCAGCAGATACTGCCAAAATCCAGCAGCTAAAGGATTGATGTCAGTTTCTGGACCCTCACTCAGTCAGTGCCTTGGCTTGTCAGTTACTCCTTTGCTCCTAGAATAATTCCCCTTTGCCATTTGCGGCCCTGACCCCTGCAATGGATTCCTCAAACTGTGCCAGGCGCCCTCTTATAGTGCCTCTTCCTCTTCCTTATGGGCAAATCCGATTCACTGCTATTTATTGGTGTAATTATGAGCAGTGTCTCCCTATGAGATGCTAAGGTCTCGAGGGTGGTATTGGGTCTACTTTGTCCATCCATAGTGGTTTCATTGAGCATAGTAGGTGACCCTTAGTAGGCAGTCAAAATATTTGTTGCATGTCATCACGCCTTTGTCAGGCCCCACACCCTGTACGCAACTCCATCCTGCCCCAGGCGAGGCTACACTCCCAGCGCACCTGGAAAGCGCTGAACAGTTTCTCCTTGGGGCTGGCCAGGGCAGCCAGGATGGCCGTGGTGGTGGTGCCGATGTTGGAACCCAGTGTGAGTGGGTAGGCCCTCTCAATGCTGATCACATCGAGGCCTGGGGGCAGAGGGAGAGGAAGTAGGTTCCCCAGCGTCTCCTTCAGCCCTTTTGCTGCCAGCCCTGGCCCAGCCCACTCCACCTCTACATGGACACTCACCAACGAGTGGGGTGATGGCCGAGGTGAACACAGAACTGCTCTGGACCACGAAGGTCATGCCGGCGCCCACCACCATGGCAAAGTAGCCTGTTACCCAGGTGAAGGGGGCAGGGAAGTCTGCAAGGAAACCGCATCCCAGCAGGTTGGGGTCAGAGCAGGGACATGGGGAGAGCAGACCTCCGTGGGGGCATTGGGAGAGAGGACCTCCATGGGGGTTTGCGCCTACTGCAGTGGCTTCCACTTGGCCTCTTTGCTCCTGGATTAAAGGCCTTTCTCAGCCTTGCTCTGTCAGGCGACTGTGCCTTTGCTGGGGCTGTTCCCTCTGCTGGGAGTATCCTACTCAGCATCTGAATATTCATCCTCAGACTCAGCATGGATGTCACTTCCTCTGGAAAGGCTTCCCTGACCCCCGGCTCTGGAGCAGACTTTTTCCTCCCTTCTCTGAACTCCCACAGCCCCATGATACCCCTTATTCTAGTATTTGTCATTCGGCCCCTCCTAGTGCATGAAGTTTAAAATGAAAACCAAGCCCGGGCAAGGTGGCTCACACCTGTAATCCCAGCACTTTGGGATGCTGAGTTGGGTGGATCACTTGAGACTGGGAGTTCGAGACGAGCCTGACCAACATAGTGAGAGCCTATCTCTATTTTTAAAAAAAATTATGGTTAATAGGAAGAGTCTGGGCATGGTGGCTCACACTTGTAATCCCAGCACTTTGGGAGGCCAAGGTGGGAGGCTTGGTATTCAAGACCAGCCTGGCCAACATGGCAAAAACCTGTCTCTACTAAAAATACAAAAATTAGCCGAGTGTGGTGGTGCACACCTGTAATCCCAGTTTACTCAGGAGGCTAAAGTGGGAGGATCACTTGAACCTGGGAGGCAGAGGTTGCAGTGAGCTGAGATTGCGCCACTGCACTCCAGCCTGGGTGACAAAGCAAGACTCTGTCTCAAAAAACAAAAAAGAGAAAATGAAAATCAAATGGCGTTGCTCCCTTGCCCCAGGTCTTCTGAGTGCTCATGTTACCCTCATTAAAGTCCAGGCTCTGAGCAGAGCCTGGAGACCCCATGCTCTGGCCCCTTCCCTGCCACCTCACTGACCCCACTCAGCCAATCCCCTTGCTTACCCTGCTCCTGCCAGCTGCTGGCCACCCTTCTGTGCCACGGACCTGCCATGCTGGTTCCTGCCTCTGAGCCTTTGCACATACTGTTCCTCCATGCAGAGTGCTCTTCATCTGCACTGTGGCTACTTGTGTCTGTTCAAATGCCAGCTGCACTGAGCGGCCTCAAACTGCGCATTGGAAGCCATCTCTTCCACACCCTACTGCATTGCCATTTTTGCTATGTCCTTGGCAGGTACCTCTCTCTGAATGTATCCCCCTAATTCATTTTCCTTTCTTCTTTATTTTTCTTTTTCTATTTTTATTTATTTATTTTTGAACTCTGTTGCACAGGCTGGAGTGCAGTGGTGCCATCATAGCTCACTGCAGCCTCAACCTGCTAGGCTCAAGTGACTCTCCCACTCAGCCTCCTGAGTACCTGGGACTATAGGAGCACACCACCATGCCCAGCTAATTTTAAATTTTTTTGTAAAGACAAAGCCTCAGCCGGGCACGGTGGTTCATGCCTGTAATCCTAGCATTTTGAGAGGCTGAGGCGGATGGATCATCTGAGGTCAGGAGTTCGAGACCAGCCTGGCCAACATGGTGAAACCCTGTCTTGACTAAAAATACAAAAAAATTAGCTGGA